CTGGGATGCTCGGGCCGCCTCGGAGCAGCGCCTGGGAACGCGTGGGAGCGCCTCGAGAGCGCGTGGCAGCGCCTGGGAGCGCCTGGGTGCATTCGGGAGCGCTTGGGGTAGGGTTCGGATGTCGCCACATGCGCGTTGCACCTCTCCACTCCTCCTCCTCCTCCTCCTCCTCCTCCTCCTCCTCCTCCTCCTCCTCCCCCTCCTACTCCTCCTCCTCTCCACCTCCTCCCTCCTCCTCCTCCCTTGCTCCTCCTCCACCTCCTCCTCCTCCTCTCTCCTCCTCTCCTCCCCCTCCTCTCCTCTCCTCCTCCTCCTCCTCCTCCTCCTCCTGCTCCTCCTCCTGGGCTTCTCCTCCTCCTCCTCCTCCTCCCCGCGAGCCACGTCTGGCAGCACAACCGGGGGGCGCCGCGTGTGCCGTGCTCCCTCTGCCACCGCCTCTGGCCTCTGGCCTCTGGCCGAGGCTCGGCGGCGTGGCGGCGCTGGGCCGGCGGCCCTCCGGCGTGGCCACGGCTCGGCTGCCTCCCCGCGGTTCGAGGTGAGGACGGGCTGCAGTCGCAGGCGATGTTTCTAATTGTCCCAACCCCCGACTGTTCGACGAAGAATGGGGCGGCTGAGAGAAGGAGGGGCACCTTGGGATACACCCCCAGAGGGGCTGTTCGGACGCACCCCTATGGAGGATGGGCGCCCCCCCCTCGTGTATCCCAGGGTTGGGCCGCAAGTTCGTGGTCCACTCGAAAACCCCACGAAGCCTGGGATAGGGGTCGCCACATCCCCTGTTATACAGACTTGATCTACCCAGAATTGTGTATAGAGACTGTTTTTTTAGGGTCTGGCGATTACCCGGGTTATCGGGCTTGCCCCCCCTCTCCCCCCCCAGGGTAACCTAACCTTGTCGGTTTTGCAGATCCGCAGGAGGGGGCGGGCGCGGGCATATGCAGGGCTGCCCAGAGCGTGAGGGTTAGGTAATCGGCCGGCCCCCTCCTCCCCCCCCACCTGGGATAACCCAGGTTAGCGCCGATTCAAAAAAACAGTCTCATATTTCGCCGAAGCTATAAAAAATATGTGGGATGCTCCGTAGATCCACGAGCATTCGACGTATTTTTGTTGGGTGCGGTCAACCCGCATAGTCAGGATGCGCGACTTTTCAAGGTTACCCTCGCATCCTTCCCCTCCGGCCCATCCTCGGCCGTTGCCGCGGGCCGCGCCCCGCTCTCGCACAGCGTGGACATGGCCTTCCAGGGCCCCTGCATCCTCGTCGTGCGTTCGACGTCCGGATTCCACGGGCTGACTGTGACTGTGCACTCGCCGAACATGCCAACTTCGGGGCACATCAACTGCAGTCCATACTCCTGCTCGAGTGGTGCTGGTCGGGCCGTGCCCGCACGCCAGGAGCCGCCGCCGCGTGAGCCGGACGCTGGGGGCACCTCGCCACCCCCGCCGTGCCCCTCGCTGCGGGAGGGGGGAAAGCGGCACCGCCAGCGCCAGGGCGGCCACCTCCAGCGAGGAGGTCCGCGACGCCTCCCCGAGCTGGGGGTCGGAGGGGGAGGAGGATGAGCAGGAGGAGGAGGAGGAGGAGGAGGCGGAGGAGGGAGGAGGAGGAGGAGGAGGAGGAGGAGCAGGAGGAGGAGGAGGCGGAGGAGGGAGGAGGCGGAGGAGGCGGAGTAGGAGGCGGTGGAGGATGATGATGTGGATGTGGACTTGGATGTGGATGTTGATGTGGATGTTGATGATGTTGCTGCTGCTGATGATGATTATGAGGATGCTGCTGATTGTGATGCTGATGCTGATGATTATCATGATGGTGATGATGATGATTATGATGATGATGATGATGCTGATGATGCTGATGATGATGATGATGCTGATGATGCTGCTGCTGTTGATGATGATGTTCATGATGATGCTGATGATGATGATTATGATGCTGTTGATGATGCTGATGCTGATGATGATGCTGATGATGCTGCTGCTGCTGCTGATGTTCATGATGATGCTGATGATGATGATTATGATGCTGTTGATGATGGTGATGCTGATTATCATGATAATGCTGATGCTGATATTGTTGCTGCTGATCAGGTTGATGATGATGATGCTGCTACTGATGCTGTTCATGCTGATGATGATGATGATGCTGATGATGACAATGCTGTTGATAGTGTTGTTGATATTGGTGCTGTTGTTGTTGTTGTTGTTGCTGTTATTGCTGTTACTGTCGTTGTTGTTGTTGTTGTTGTTGTTGCTGCTGTCGTTGTTGTTATTGTTGTGGTTGTTGCTGTTGTTGTTGATGCCGATGCTGGTGATGATGCTGCTGCTGCTTCTGATGATGCTGCTGCTGATTATGATGATGATGATGATGATGATGATGATGATGATGATGATGATGATGGTGGTGGTGGTGGTGGTGGTGGTGGTGGTGATGATGCTGCTGCTGCTGATGAGGAGGAGGAGGGGGAGGAGGAGGGGGAGGAGAAGGAGGAGGAGGAGGAGGAAGAGACGGATGCGTAAATACCATTTCGGTATCCGCACGAGTGTGGTGGCATCCGCTTTGTTGAAACTGAGCTATAGCAGAACATGGCGACAGTAGAGAATGAGCGTGACGATGCTTGGTTTTGTGACGTTGCGCCAGGACTCTGGGAGAGAGAGTGTGACAAATCGGTGACCCCACCACCAGCGATGTGACGGCACAGTTCGGTATGCTGTGTGTGTTGCCTTCACCTTCATCCCGTACTTGGCCTGAGCGGAGGGGGAGGGGGGCTGCGAGAGAGCTCCCCGATCGTCCAGCCGGCGCGTGCTTATGGAGGACCGGTGCGACCTGGCCAGGCTCCGACTTGGAGGTCGTCCAAAACCTTTGTGTGCTCTCCGGCGTGCTGGCAGCCCCTCCTTTCGCAGTCCTGGAGATTGACATCGGCGGTGTGCCTCCACCGAGGGAAGACGATCCCGATCTCGGTGATGGTGGTAATCTTCTGGCTTCCAAGGTGACCGAAATATTACCACCAGCACCGAAATCGAGGATCATCTCGCCCCTGTGGAGGCAACCCCCTGTGTTGGTGTTGGCGCCCTGTGTGCGCAGGAGGAGGAGGAGGAGGAGGAATGAGGAGGATGAGGAAGGAGGAGGAGGAGGAGGAGGAGGAGGAGGAGGAGGAGGAGGAGGAGGAGGAGGAGGAGGAGGGGGGAGGAATGAGGAGGAGGAGGAGGAGGAGGAAGGAGGAGGAAGAGGAGGAAGGGGAGGAGGACGACGATCCAGGAGGAGGAGGAGGAGGAGGAGGAAGAGGAGGAGGACGACGATCCAGGAGGAGGAGGAGGAGGAGGAGGAGGCAGCCCCTCCTTCGGTCCTTCGCCCCCCCGCCCGCTCCAGAGCACGCTCGGGGAGCGCTCTGGCTCCGCGTGCCGCGCCGCCGGCTCTGTCTGGCCCACCTGCGCTCCTGGGCGGCGCCCTGGCCACGCCCGAGGCGTCCCCAGGCGTCAGCGCCCCGTCGGAGGCCTAGAGGTTGACACCAACACCAATATCGGCGTTGTGCCTCCACCGAGGGAAGACGATCCCGATCTCGGTGATGGTGGTAATCTTCTGGCTTCCAAGGTGGCCGGAAGATTGCCACCGACACCGAAATCGAGGATCGTCTTCCCCCTGTGGAGGCAACGCCCTGTGTTGGTGTTGGTGCCAATTTCCAGGCCTCCAACCAGGGCCGCCGCCGCGACGCGCCGTGCAGAAGTTCCGGACCGTCGCCTCTTCCCGGCAGCCGAGCGTCGGCGTCCCGAGGCTTCCCAGCCTCCCTCGGGGGCGGAAAAGAGGGGGGTGATGACTAGGGGGGGGCGGATATCATGGCGGGGGCCATGCTATCTCCCCCGATCTCATGGCGCCTCTTCTCATTTCATTGCGTCCCTGGCCCCCCCCCCCTGGGCCGCGCACGTGCCGCCGGCCATGATTTGCACCCCTCCCTCTTGGACACCCCCCTCTTGGCCGCTCCCGACCGAGGCTTCCCAGCCTCCCGCCCACTGGAGCGGAGCGGCACGCTGGCAGCCTGCACGCCGCAGCGTGCTGCAGGAGCCGCCGCCGCGGCACGCGGAGCAGCAGCTCCTGGCCGCCGTGCGCCCTCCGACGCTGCCGCGGCCCCCTGCCTGTGACACGACAGCTTTCGGGCCCGTCCCTCGTCTTCCAGGGCGCATTTCGATCCGATCGACCCGATTCGGCCTCGGCCTCGGCCATGTCGATCCGACTCGTTTCCGACTTCTCGTCCAGCCGGTGCGGTCCGATGCTGACATGGCGCTGTTGTGCATCCTGGTGCAGCCCGTCCTATTCGATTTCGACTCAGTGCCCATGTGGCCCGATCCGACACACATTCCGATCATAATGGAGGATGACGATTAATAAATGACCGGGGGTCGTGTTCACGCGGCGGCGCCCGGGATGACGATTAGAAAAAACCGGCCGCGGGCTGGAAAACTATTTGTTTTAATCGTTCTCCTCCAGTCAGAAAGTTGAGCAGAACTAGCAGGAAACTATTTTTTGTAATCGTTCCCCCCCATATTTTTTGTTCATCGTCATCCCGCATTACTCGATTTCCCGATTCGATGCTGACTGATCCTGCGTCTTCTCGTCCCGATCAGATCTGGCTCTCGTGATCAGCAGCAGGAGCACGAGTGGCAGCCCCACGATGCTGCCGACTTGGAGCGTTCCCCCTTGGATCGCCGTCGGCTTCAACTTGGCATCGCTCCTCGTGCCATGAGCGGATCAAAAGCGCAGCACTCTGTCATGCTCCCTTTTCCTCCTCCTCCTCCTCCTCCTCCTCCTCCTCCTCCTCCTCCTCCTCCTCCTCCTCCTCCTCCCCCCTTCAGCTGGGTAATGACGTCGTCGCCCTCCACCCCACCCCTGCTCCTCCACCCCTCCACCCCCCGTCGGCCCGGTCTGGAAGAGCCCGCGGCGTGGCGGAGTTTTTTTTTTGTTGGGGGGGGGCGGGCGGTGGCGGCGGGGCAGACGCGTTCCCTCTCCTCCCTTCTAGGTGTCGTTCCAGATCGAGCTGAACGCCTCGAGCGGCAAGCAGCAGGCCTCTCTGTCCCTCCCTCCCCTCCTCCCCCACCTCTTCCCTCCTCCTCCGCCTCCTCCTCCTCCTGCACCTCCTCCCCCTCCTCCTCTCGCCTCCCCCTCCCCGCCGCCCTCCCCTCCCCCTCCCCTTTTTTCGCCTCTGCCCTTCGCGGGGCACCTCCACGGGCCCTCGCTCTCCCCCTCCTCCTCCCCGCTCCTTCCTCTCCCTTCACAATTACTCAATATGAATACTACTCTCCCTCTTCCCCTGATGACGGTTTGAAAGTGTCCGACCCTCCCCCGCGTATTGTTTTTTACACAGGTTTTCCCGGAGTTGGGTTTTCGCTTGCATTTTTTCTTCAAAATGCTGCTCTCGCTGAGGCGCCGGCCTCATTTTCGGGCCCCGCTCGTTCCGAATCGTGCTCCCGCTGCAGCGCTGGCCTCATTTCCGTGCTTCCGCTCGTTCCGAATCGTGCTCCCGCTGCAGCGTTGGCCTCATTTCCGCGCTTCCGCTCGTTTCGACTCGTCCTCCCGCTGCAGCGCTGGCGTCATTTCCCGTGCCATGTCACGGTGGGTCACGGCGTGCAATGCAATGCTAGGTTGATGCTACGCTTGCGGTGCTCTTCTACGCCATGCCATGCCGTGCTCTACAATGCATCGCGTACCCTTTCGGGATCATTGCCCTGCTCGACATCCGACTGTGCGAGTAGAGAGGGGATCTGCGCCATGGTAAGGGATGGGAGGGAGGGGTAGGATGTCAGATATGACGCGAGCGCACCTAGCTTGTCTCCCCCCTCTCTCCCTGCCCCCGCCTTCCCCCGATCTCCACCCCGCGCCCCGCGCCCACCCGCCAGCGGGGCCCGAGCCGGCAGCTCCTCGCGGCAGAACGCACACGGCCTCGCGTGCACGGAGGGGGGCTGGTGGCGACGGCGCAGCCGGAGGACGCTGCCTCTCCCCCCCCTCCTCCCCGCCTGCCTCCCCCCGCCTCCCTCCCGCCGTGCCTCCCTCCGGCGGCGCGCGCGGGTCCCTCGCCGCGGCCGGCGCACGCCGAGCCGCCGCCCCTCCCTCGGGGAGGGCGGCTCCCCCGTGGCCAGTCGCCAGACGAGGCCACTCCCGGGGGGGAGGGGTCTGCCGGCTGGGGCCCTTCGGCTCCGACGCGCGGGCGCGCGGCCAGCCACGCGGGGAAGACGAGGCCAGCCTTCCTGCGCCCTCCGCGCCGCTGCCGGCCGCCGCCCGGCGCCTGCAGCCAGATGGCGCATTGAGGGGCTCGTCGGTCTCTACCGCCAGGGGGAGGGGATCCACGCGCCACTGGCCCGCGTCGAGGGCCACCGAGCCTTCGACCGCGGGGAGGAGAGGGAGAGGGCCCAGCGCGCGCGCAGCTCTTGCGCGTGCGGGTCGGGGAGGCGCACCACCGCAACCGTCGACGGCCCAGAGGCGGTGGCGGCGCTGCTCGATGACCCGGGGCGCTCTGCGCTCGGGCCCTCCCCCGTGGGGGCTGGGCCGGAAGAGGCGCCGGGCGGGCCAGCGGGAGGGCGCCTGCGCCAAGCGGGCGAGGAGCGGCCGCGGGCGGGGCCAGGGCGTCGCGGAGGATGCCGGGCGCGAGAGGAGCCAGCCCCCCGCCCGGCTGCAGCAGGGCGCCAGCCAGCTGCGTGGCCGCGCCTCGTCCGAAGTGCCCGGCTCCGTCGCCAGCAGGGCAGGCGTGGCGCCATGGGCCCCCCGAGCGCGGCGGCGTCGCCGGCCGCAGCAAGCGCGGGCCGGGCAAGCAGCGCGCGGGCGCCAGCGGCGACCTCCGTCTGCGGAGCCCGCAGTTCGCAGCGGCATGGGGGGCACGCTCGGCCGCGCGTCGTGACCGAGCGGGGTGAGCTGCCGTGGCACGACTGCCGCGCAGTCGTTCTGTAGTAGCCAGCAGCGGGTTAGTTACGGCCCCTAGAATCAAGTCGGGCCTCTCCCCCTGCAGGGGGATTTTCGGCGACAAGTAAAGAATACTCCAAAGATGCCCCAAAAAAGGTCAACCAATATTCGAAGAATAGTCCCCAGACATTTTTTTGATTTTTTTTTTGACTATTTTGTTTCTGGGTATGTTTTATCTCTCGTCGAAGATCCCCTTGTGGGGGGACAGGCCCGACTTGCCACCAGAAGGGAGAGGGCGGCCTCTCCAGCGCTCGGGCCCAGCCGGCGCGGCGCGCCGCTCGGGCCCGGGCCTCCCCCCCCTGGATCGTGCACGTCTGGCTGGCTGCGCGGGGCCTCTCTGTCCCCAGGGTGTGGCTTGCCCGAAGGGCTCGCGCTGGGTGAAGGGCAAGGGAGGAAAAACCACCCCGACCCCGACCATTGGCGTTTACTAAGCGACCCTGGGCGTTTACTAAACGGCCCTGCCCTGTTTGATTCTTTCTTCGGGTGCGTTGACTAGACGGCTTCGCTTGTCGGGGTGGTTATTCTCGGGGTGGATTTTCTGCCCTCCATTGGTGCCTCTGGAGGTTCCTCGGGTTCCCTGGGCTCCTCGGGTTCCCCAGGTTCCCCGGGTGGTCCTTCGGGCTTCATGCAGTGCCAAGCAGTGCCAGGCAATGCCGAGCAACACCAACCATTGCCAACCAATGCCAAGCAATGCCAACCATTGCCAACCAATGCCAAGCATTGCCAAGCAATGCCAAGCAATGCCAGACAAGCAATGCCAAACAATGCTAAGCAATGCCAAGCAATGCCAAGCAATGTTAAGCAATGCCGAGCAATGCCAGGCAATGTCAACCAGCGTCAAATAATGCCAAGCAATGTGAAGCAATGCCTAGCGATGCCACGTAATGCCAAGCAAACACAAGCAACTTCATTTGTATGATTACCCTTATCCGCCTGCTTGTCCTCATCCTTATCCATGCCCATATCCTTATCCTTATCCTTGTCATTACCCTGACCCTTATCCTTATCCATATCCTCATCCTTGTCCTTATCCTTATATCAACATCCTTGTCCTCATCCTTATCCTTATCTTTATGTTTATCATCGTCCCTGTCCTTGCCCTTGTCATTGTCCTTATCCTTATCCTTATCATGATCCTTAGCTCTGTCCTGATACATATATTTATCCCTATCCTTATCCTTACCCTTATCCTTATCTTCATCAGTATCCTTATCCTTGTTCTTGTTCTTACCCTTATCCGTATCCTTATCCTTCTCATGATCCTTAGCTCTATCCTCATACATACCCTTATCCTTATCCTTATCCTTATCATTATCCTCATCCTTGTCCTTGTTCTTACACTTATACGTATCGTCATCCTTGTATGTATCCGTAGCCTTAGCATTATCCATATCCTCGTCCTTATCCTTATCCTCATCTGCATCCTTATCCTTATCCTTGTTGCTTTGCTTATCCTTATCCTCATCCTTATCCTTGTCCTCATCGTTGTCCTCATCCTTGTCCTCATCCTTATCCTCATCCTTATCCTTATATGTATCCTTATCCTTACCCCTACCCTTATCCTTATCCTTATCCTTATCACTACCATTATAAATATCCTTCTCCTTGCCATTGTCCTTACCCTTATCCTTACCGTCATCCTTATAGTTTCCCGTATCATTACCATTGTCCGTATCCTCATCCTTACCCTTATCCTTAACCTTATTCCTATCCTCATCCTTATCATGATAAGCATGCGTATCCTTATCCGTATCCTTATCCTTATCCTTATCCTCATCCGTATCCTTATTCTATTCCTTATCCTTATCCCCATCCTCAGACATCCTCATCCTTGTCCTCATACTTGTCCTCATCCTTGTCCTCATCCTGATCCTTATCAGTATCCTTATATGTATCCTTATCTGTATCCTTGTCCTTATCCCTATCCTTATCCTTATCAGTATCCTTATCCTTATCATTATCATTATCCTTATCCTTATCCGTATCCTTATCCTTATCCTTATCCTTATCCTTATCCTTATCCTTATCCTTATCCTTATCCTTATCCTTATCCTTATCCTTATCCTTATCCTTATCCTTATCCTTATCCTTATCCTTATCCTTATCCTTATCCTTATCCTTATCCTTATCCTTATCCTTATCCTTATCCTTATCCTTATCCTTATCCTTATCCTTATCCTTATCCTTATCCTTATCCTTATCCTTATCCTTATCAGTATCCTTATCCTTATCATTTTCAGTATTCTTCCTTACCATTGTCCTTGTCCTTGTCCTCAGCCTAATCCCTGTCCTTATCCTTGTTCTTGTCCTTATCCCTATCCTTCTCCTGATCCTACTCCTTATCCTCATTCTTATCCTTCTCCCTATCCTCATCCTTATGCTCATCCTTTTCCGTATCCTTGTCCCTATCCGCATCATTGTCCTTGTCCTTGTCCTCGTCCTTGCCCTTGTCCTTGTCCTCGTCCTTGTCCTTTTCCTTATCCAACTTCCTTGTCCTCCTCCTCCTCCTCTTCCTCCTCCTCCTACCGGATCTCTGTCTCACTGCGAGAGCTGCTCGCAGGTGAGGGCCTCAGATTTCCACGCGCCACGACCAGGACCCTCGACGGCCACTTTCTGGGGTTCGAGTCCGGGGCGCCCAGGGCTCGGGCCCCGCGGCCATCAAGAGCGACCTCTGGCGATGTTTTCGGCCTGGCGATGACCTTACAGTGGAGACCCATGCCAGGAAACGCCCTGCTTGCCTCCAGGGTGCCCTGGGTTTCTTGGGTGTCGATGGTCTTGCTATGGAGAGCGTGTCGTTCCCATACCAAAAATGAATGGACATCCTGGGGTCTCAGGGTTGGGCTTCTTGTGGAAGGTTTCTTGCGGTCGAGCTCCTACTGTAGGCCCATTCGTTGTTCTGCCTTTGGGATCGGCCGCTGCTCGTCGCCGTGGCCCGACAGGCAAACACCAAGGTCGCAGGTGCACCTCCCCGCCGATGTGATGTCCGACGTTCCCGGTTTCAGCGAGCATGGGGCGCACGGCGGCCACGGCAATGCCGTATGGCATGCCAAATCCTCCTCAGGAGGAGGAGGAGGAGGAGGAGGAGGAGGAGGAGGAGGAGGAGGAGGAGGA